TTTTTCATTTTAAGGTATCGTTATATAAAGATCTGTAAATTCACAGGGCTAAATTAATTCATTCAACTTTTTGAAAAAAAAACTTTTATTTTTATAGTTTTTATAAAATAATAAAAATAATTGTTACATTTTGTAAAAATTCTAATCAGTTTAGTGCATTTTGATAAGTAATCGTATAAAATATTTTGGTTTTGACTCTCGTTACTCATTTCTATGCCAGTTGTATGTTGTAAATCTCTTGCTAAAACTAAGCGGCACTTATTGTCAAAGACAGTATATGTACAATCATAATATACGCGTATCTGGACCGTTTTGAACCTCAAATACGTAACATAATCCACTATTTTCGAGGAGGGTGTGCGTGACATTCACTGATAAATGGGATCCAACTAAATCGTATGTGACAGAAGTGTTCCACGCATCATGAGATGTATGGTGAAAGTTAAATCATCTTGAGATTTATTTATGGTGTCCTTAAGAGCTAGATTTATTTTGAGAGAACTTTTTTCAGTCATTTAATAAAATATGATCAGTAATATCCTTCGCAGATACCTATATATTACTTTTGATAACCTAAAATGGGTTTCGATATCTCCAAAACAGTTTTTATCGTATCATATGCAATCTTTAATGATATCAAAATTACGTGCATTAATTGTACACTTTAAACATATTAACTTATAAAAAGGTTTAGCGAGAATTTTAAGACAGAATCTAGAAATTATACAATAGAATATCTCATTAATGATATCACCAAATATGTTTTGCTTTATTATATGTAGTTCAAAAGTGATGTTTACAAACAGTTGAGAAATTTGAAGAAGTTGTTCAATAAGATTTCAGAACTAAAACTTAGCCAATAATTGAGATGAAACTGTTACACAAAGCTGAAGCCGCATTACAAAATAATTGAGAAGTCGAAACAATAAATAAAATATACAAATTTTATAGCAATAAACAGTCAACATTGTATATGGTTTTAAATTCAAAATTCATCTTTTTTAAAATACAATCCTTTTATATTCCTTTTATTACATCAAATTATTTGTAAATTTATTTCAACGAATTAAAACACCTGAAAAAACAACCGAGCATCCTTTATTTTCGAGAGTAAAAACATACAGAATCTCATAAATTATGAAGTTTAAAAAATAGTTTATACACAGTCCTATTACAAGCGATTTACAACAGTATATTAAAGGTATAGAGTATAAATTCCTAAAGCAGAAGATCGGATCAGAGTGAAACAATTTTTACTACTGCTAGGTTTCCGCTGGAATCATGGACTAAGTACGGAACACTCGTACAACAAAGTTAACGAACCACGAATGAGTGCGCGGGAATAACCCGAAATGGTAGATTGCAACAATCGCACAAAACGCAGTAAATTTACTTTTATAGCACAAGTTAGAAGAACATGTTCAATGTGTTACAAATTTTCTGTATAATTTATAATTTACTTTTTAATTTTACGGTAATATTTTTATTGAGCTACATATTGCATATGATTGTATTTTTCATTGTTTATAAAATATATTACCCTCCATTCGCAAGCAATAAATATGTTTTAAGACTTTAAATGTATTTCACCCTTATATGACAAAATTAGTAACAAATTTTGCTTGTAAAATAATTAATAACCTTCATGTTAAATAAGATAAATAAATCACAGAAATGAGCTTCAATAACTTCGATATTATTTGATTTCAGATAATTTTGAAGTTATATTGATATTACATACACCATACAAGTTTACCGGTAGTCAAACGAAGCCAGTCGGGTCCGCCCATTTGTATGAAGTTGTTCACCAACTTCGAACTGATTATTCATAGTTGGACCGGAACATAACGTGAATCCAAACAGGATTACGTAGGATCAATATCAAATAGTTGAAAGTACTGTTGTGGTAAATTTCAAAGCGGACCTTTATTCTAGGTAATACTTCAAGGAGAATGAGTAACAAGAATATCCTACTACATATATATATAATGTTCTGACCAATTATTAGGATACTATTAAAGTCATAAAACTATTTTAGAAGTACGTATATTTGAATCAATGTATATAAAGTAAGTTTCACGTGTATTTTATATATATTTATGAATAACGTCAGTTTTATTATATGTAGAAATAATTTAATAAAGGTAATCACTAAATATTATTTTCCTTGCACATATCAGTATGCGAAATTTTATCATAGTTAAATGTACAGCTTTGATTTTAGTATTTATTTGTTATTTTTGATAATGGGATTACAAACTTTTTTCGAGTATTCATTGAGATAAAACTATTTTTTTTTATATTTTGTTTTTTAAATATATTAATAAAATATTTTTTAAATATATCTGCCCGTGCCACAAGTATGACAAAAATCATCTGAATAATATATCTTGAATAATATATCAATGAAAACAACAGACAATCTGCTTTAAAAAGAGACCGTTCTTGAGACCAATGAAAAGGAGGCACCTACGATCTTTTTACAACAAGCGCAAGTTTACAAATGTAATAATGACTGTGGCTTGTCAAACACTAGATAAAAAAAGATTACAACTTACAACAACATATATGAGATCAAAATAGACTTGTGTCGAAATCGACAATATATATGTATGAACATACAATGGATAAGGCAAACCATTGCATCCGTTTTGACTAACCACAGATCTTGGTAAGTGAAAACAGATATACTTACATATACCAATACTAAGCTTCAAGGCTATGAAACTAAAAAAAAATATTTTAGTTAAATCATAAGAAAATCTAAAACTTGTTTAAAACATTATTAGAGGATTTTTTCATTAAGAATATTAAATCTCATGACCTTGACAGCACTTCAGAATTCAAGACCCAATTATCGGTTTCTATTAAAAGTAATAGCATTGTAATATTCAAATTAAGAAATCGTTAGCTGTGGATGACAAAAAATTACTGACGGATATTTTAATCTCATCTGTACAAATACCGCGGTTTCCGAGTAGTATTAAATATTCGAAAAAATATAGTTTTATTAATAACTGTACCTATTAGTAATCAATTTCTACCATTGATTATATATAACTAAATTTATAACTCTAATTATAGGTCACATGATGGCAAAAGGTGTTTCATTAACAAAATTGTCAATGAAAAAACGAATGGTAATAAGTTATTTAGCGAAAAAAAATACTATTCAATGTCAATAACGATTTCTTTTATTAAACATATAGCCTACTCTGCCATCTAACGGTACGTACTGTAAACAACAAAGATTTAAACGATTTTAGTGTTATCTACCAACAATAGATGGCAGGACAGTTGTATATAATTTATTATATTACAGAAAAACACTAAACAATAAACCATTTGTACTTCCCAGATGGACGTGATCAATGAAAATTCAATGAAATTCATTCTAAAATCTAAAATAAAATCTATCTCATTTAAAATGACGAAAGTATTCACAGTAGCTGAGAGATTTCAACTTGTAATCTATAGAATACTGACATAATGATATGAAATAACTATTACAGTTACAGTCAAAAGGATTGCAATAATTTTTTATTATCAGTATATAATAGGATGGTAATTGAATAAATAAAAAAGATATTTTGCTTTTATATTACCAAAATGTTAAGCCATTTTAATACGTTTGTTATTAGTATAAAATCAAATTGGTGTAAGATGGTCGCCTGGCGTGAACAAATGTGCTCGTAACTTACGTCACCCCTCGGGGTTTCTTATGCCGGTTATTACCTCCATAGCAGGTAACAAAATTTACTTCGTAGAAAATTAGTATTGATTTAAGGAAAAATGCTTATATTGAGGAAGACTTCGATATTTTTGTTGCTTTGACAATTTTTCATTTGGGAGTGAGTGAAGAAAAGAAAAAGTTCTGCTATATATTAAATGATGTTGAAAAAAAAAAAAAAAACAATTTTGTATTATTTTTAGGCTAGCTTTTGTTAGAAGATAAGACAATACTTGAATTTATCCAATGATCACTAGTTCTCTTAGAGTAGACACCGAAGGCTATTTCTTACAACGTCCAACAAATTACATAATTTGTCTCACTAAGACACCGTTGATCAGATCCAGAGATAATTCTTTGGAACTTTTATTAAAAACGATTTAGGAATTTTAAATTACTTCAGTTGTTACATTTATTATGTATTGCTATATAATTATTGCTAAGCCTCTGTAGATAATTTATAATATAAAATGATATTACAAGGATAAGTATCTTAAAAAATATTTTATTAAATTGTACGATTAAATGTCAAACATTTATCCCCCAAATTATGAAAAAAACATAAGAGTGGGCGCCGAAAGTAATGTTTGTAGACATTTTTTAAGATTTATGTTAAAAAGTTTTTACATTTTTCATTTTAGGAGCGCTTGTTCATTGCGTGAACGATTATCATTTTTCCCTTTTTATATTCCGAACCAAGTTTCTTTTTGCAGGACCCTTTTCAAAATAATAAGTAATTGTTTGCACACAGTCGGGGCGAAATTTGAAACTCTTTCTACAATGTCGTCACCCTGACTCGAAAAATTTGTTATAGAGTATTTTATAAAAGAAAATATGAACACAATACATAAAGTAAGCGATAAAAAAATATGTGATATATTATATGGAAAATAATAATACTTATGTTATATCATTTGAATATTGAAAACTAGGTAACAAAACAATAGGACAAAAATAATAAATAAATTCGATATACTATATTTCCATTTATTATAATAATTTTAGTTAGAACTAATTTAATTATTATAACCAACTTGCCAAAACACGACAACTGTTGAACGAAGGCGTTTCTGAGGAATTCTAGTCTCCCCCCATCCACAATCTTTACTTTATAATTTTACTAATAACCTATTTAATATTCTTATCACATGCTTTTAAAATGAATAATACTAGTATAAATTAAAAAGAACTGTATTTTGTGTTGAAGAATATTAATATTAGTCGACTAGACCATACATACATATTCGTTGTACGTAGTTTTGCATATTTATTAAAGACTAGTCGATACTTCGTTGGTTCTTAAGTCAGGCACATTTAATTGGAAATGTCTATTACAATTGCAATTTATTAGACCTCCCATATCACCTTTGGCAACGCAAATGTTAGGCGAGCGAAATTGCTCGCCTTCGTTTCTTTTCCTTTTATTTATCGGTACTATAGGTATAGAATATATAGCCCCTATATCGTCATATGAAGGCTCTTGGCTCTTCATAAAATCATGCTTATTATTTTTTGTGGTAGTTTGATAAATATTCGATGTATGCAACCAATTTTCTTTGTAAGGTTCGTTGTATTTACTGTGATATTTACTAATAATAGTGGGGTTAAAAGATTTATCTATATTCAATTCTTGCTCGGAATTTCCATTTTCATTAATATATCTTTGGGACATCCAGACGTACCGTGCCATCGGTTCTTCTGGGCCCCAAAGTCGTGAAGGTCGAAACGCAGATGCTATTTTCTAAAACAAAAAGTTATTTTTCATTTTTGTTACTTTTTATTTTATATTGTAGTAGACATTTAATATTTTTTTGTGGATTGTTAACATCTAACTTACTGTTAACAGGTTGAATTGTTCTTCCTTCGCGACTGCTACAGCTGCCATGATTATCATCACCACCAAGATACCAATTAAAGTTCCTCCCAAGGGCCATAAAGTCTGACTTCCCCAAGTGAACCTTAAAAGTGATCGTAGCCACCAGCCCATCACACCCATAAGTAGTACTGGAGTTATCCACCAAGATATCAACCAAAATATCGGCAATCTTGAACCAGTTACAAAATGGATGTCCACTGTTAAGTAATACCAACCTGGAATTAATAAAAAATAAATTTCATTTTAATATTTTTCTTTTGAAAATTATGAAGGTTGTAAATGTTTGCCTGTATTCAAAGAGACATTTTTTAAACAATATCACAATAAAAACTATATATTAAAATGTTAAACTATTCAAAAGTAGTTATTAAATTCGTAAGTAAATTGATAACACATTTCTGTAAGTTAATCTTAACAAAATTACTAAACAAGAATCGATATTTTCAAATTAATTTTCATATTATTAAATTATTAGAGTTAAAAAGTTAAATAAAGCTGAACATTGTTCTGTCCATGTACATACTCGTAACTTCATAAGCGCGTAAGGTAATTGTCAGCTTCTAAATTGATTGCAATTGGTAATTTGAATTGACCCTCGCGGTCAACAGCGACATTAATTCAATTATAGGAACTTATTAAATAACTTTGAATGTTGTGGAATCATGTAAGTTACGTACAACTGGACTAATGCTAACCATTATGGGAACATCTGAATTATTTTGATTCAAATATTTGTTTGAACCTTTATCCTGCTGTAAGTTTTGCATAACATATTGTTAGTGGTCTATATTTTAGTTATCATTTTAAAATTCAATTATGTTTTTGGTGAACGCATGATAGAGAAATGTTACAAAGCATATTTTACAAGCAATTTGCACCCTAGCGCCTTTTAAGATGCTTCTTCTATGCTCTTTGAAATAACTTTTTGCTACAGACTTCTAAAAATGATTTCTTTGCGTTGGCTTCTTACAGAATTTATTTTATTTTTACAACTACAAAAGAATTTTTTTAAACACGATAAACTAAGACTAATTAAAATATTTCCTTTATAGTTAATAAAATGTATTTTAATTTTATTAAGAGATAATTTTCTTTTAAATTTAGTTTTATATTTTTTACAACGTGACCAACTCTTTTAGCTTTTATGTAACAAAATGATTTCTACATTTTTCATAGTAGATACTCACCGTAAATAAACACGAAACCTACAATTTCGACAAGTGTAGTGAACACAGCTAGTACTGGCACGACCAGTTCGTCAAGCAGAGATGTAACATCTAGTCCTTGTGCTAGCACAGTAACAGTTAGTGCTGTGCCTAATGCAGAAGATGCACATGCAAATAGTCGCCAATGATCGCCTGCTAGACGGTGCAATTTGTCGTATATAGGATATAATAGAGCTAGCTGAAAATAAAGCATTTTAATTTTATTCATTTAAAATGATCAATAATATTAAAATGTATACATAATAACACTTTTTTGCGATTAAGTAGCAATACAGAATTTTCGAAAGGAAACTTGTAATATGACTATTTTTTTAAGCAATTTACTAAATAAACAGCTTTATTTAAAACGAATTCGTTTGAAACTTTACTGGGAGCATATTTGTTATCAAGATATACAATCGGATAGTAATTGAGTTGGCAGATAGTCAGATTATATGCAAATTTTAATAAGGTAACCGGGTACGGTTGCAGCTGAGCTACAAGAGCACATGCTGCAGTTTTTTACCATATTAAATATTTTATTTCCAATTTCAGAACAAAACTTACCACAGTGATAATCCCCGACGCTAGTACTAACCCGAAACCTAATAGCGGCCATTCTTTGGATCTCTTTTCGGACACCGAAGACTGATATATTAAAACTAATATTGATACAAAGCTGGTATCTTTATTGCTTTCACCGCTTATGGACTGCCACATAAATACGGACAACCAAGCAGATACTAAATTAGTGATTGTAACAAATATTGATGTCCTGAAATGAGAATAAATTGGTTATTTTACAGTCCGAAATGTACTATCTTTATAATATTTTCTTGAAAATTTATCTAATTTTAGAAAAAGACAAAGTTTAAGAACTTTTTAAGGTATCAACCTCGAGCACGGTAGTTTAAAAGAGAACCAATTTAAAATATTCCTTTACTTTAACCAGCTAAGATTGTTCTTTTTATTTATGTACAGTCTTTGTTTAATACTATCTAGGTTATTTACGTGTCTTAAATCTATGCGTATTAAGATTTTCGCTTAATTTCCAGTTTTTATATATTCTTCCCAAACATTTTATATGCAAAATATCTCACCATCTAACGTCTGATTGTCTATAAACTGTTCCTCCAGCACTAATTAAATAGCCACTAACTATATTTGAAGACAAGAGCGCCTGAACTAACGAGCTCTGCCAAATATATGGATGAGTTAGTGGTGACCAATGGTCGCAAGATTCCAACATAGTGGCCAATGTAAATGAGTCGGATAAAAATATAAACAGAAGTATGGCAATTACTATTATTATGGGTGTGCAGATAATAAGTGCTATTCGTAAAGTTTTTCGGAGGCGATACAACCTGAAATCAAAGATTTAATCAAGAGATAAGTTCTATATTCCACAAGATTTTTAGGATAAAAAGAACCATCTAAATATGTATATATTTTTTGTGAGTGATTACAAAATTAATTCTAGGTAAACAGATAAAGATGAGGTTTTATTCTTATTGCAAATATAAAAATACTAGTTTGATTAACACGTGCCAAAAGAGATTTTGTATATTAAATTTATTTAGCTAAATAAAGAAAATTTATTTCAACAAACAATCATTAATACATCTTTTATTTTAAGAATTCACAAATAAATAAATAATACTATAGAAATAAATAAGATACTGAAATAGGTATGACGATTAAACCATTAAAATACTTCAACTATTAAGCTATTTGAAGATGCACCCAAAGCGAAAAAAAATTCATATTGTTCTACTGCAATTATTTAAATTATAAGATTTCATGGCAAAATAACGGAAATTAACATTTTAAATTACGTCCACATCGTTAAATAAAATGTTTCTTAGAAGAAATTAAAAAAAGTGCTTGAAGTCTGCAAAGTAAAATTTTCCTTTTTTTCTAATTAGAAACATATGACTTAATATTTCTGTTGTAATGTATATTTAAAAAACAGTCTCAAACAAGATCTGTTTTGGTTTGACATATAAATATAACAAAACTAAATAAACATAGTCACTCTTTATGAAAATTGTGTAATAGTGAAATTAATACTTACATAATGGGCACAAAGAACCATAAAACGAATATTAAAATAGCCATTACGCCGAGATATTGTGGCTGTTCGGCAAATGGCGCCAAAAACGTGGAGCTGAAATTGTTAATGTGATATATTTTTATTCCAATTACCGCAATTAAAAATTTGCCAAAAACAGCCACTCAACATTGTCATTGATTAATTATAAAACTGTCGTTGCAATGATAGGTGGAATCACAATGTATCTGTTCATAGCGTTATACAAATATGTAATTAAAACACTTACTTAAAACATTCAGAAGCGTTCATTTTATTTTCGTATCCATTCTGAAAATAAAAATTAAATGTTCTTCTTACTAATTATTCGCATGTTCTATTCTAAAAGCAAATAAATTAAAATTATGAAAATTGTATTTCCATTATTCAACGTACCGGAGTTAAATGTAATTTTGTACAATCTTTCAGCGGAAACGTTCCCTTTGCTATCCAAATCATATAGGCGGCTGATAATGCAATATATATCATACTGTATATACAACAAATATATGAGGTTAGAATCTTCAAGTGACCTACACCTGTAAAAAAATGGGGGTTAATATGATCTAAACCAGAAAACTAATGCGAAATATTGCGTGTCGAACCTCGTAGTATAGGAACTGCTCTCCAGACTCCAACAGGATCTTGCTGGCTGAGCTGCCCCATCGCAAGCTGCAACAGTGTTGTTGGCAGCGCGACCGCGAGTAGCCAAAAGGAGTATGTAACCAAGTATGGAATATCGCCATACTTGAACGCCTCGCGAGGTAGACGGACCGTGTTGAATAATGTGAATGATATGGCTATTGTGCATATTTGAGTTTTGATTGAGTGAAGAATCCGCTTGACTGTCTGAAAACAAGAGATTTAATTGTTTATTTTTTTGTCCTGTAATTAAAACCGGTTCGTTTTAATGAGCAAAAACAATTTATAATGAGTATCTCTTTAACAGCAAAATGTTAACCTCATAGATAAAAAAGTGTTGAATATATTTTTGATATTAAGACATTTATTGAAAATTTATTTGATACAGAAATTGATTGGACTCCAAAATTTCACTTTACGACAACTACACAATTTTTGAAAACATAAAAGCTATTTATTTTATTCTATAAATAAAATATTATCTTGTACATAACAAAAGAGATAGATTAATTTTGACTTATATTTTGATTTTTCCTCCTTTCTTATTATAATATTTTATAGACTATACAAAATGAGAAAAAATGCAGACTCTTTTAAGACATAATTTTTTTTTCTTTAATTCACTCGAACAAATTTTTGACAAAGATAGATTACTTTACTTACGCATTAAACTTTAAATGTAACATATGTAATACGTGTAAAGATTGATGTTGTCAGAGACTTAATAACAAGTTACGTAAGTGAATACGACAAGCACGGCCTTATTAAAATTAATTTTCTTTTCCGCTTCAATGTATAATCATAGTTGCAGTAATCCTTGACCGTGGCCCCACACACATAAGCATGCCCTATATTAGTTTTAAGCTTGTATTATCCTGTTAAAGCTACGAGTGTAAATATGAAACAATATTTTTAATATTATTATAATTATTATAGATTTTTTTTAAAAAGGAATTGTAATGCCAGTTAATAAAAAAATATTATATGATTTAAGAGTAAATACGAGTATTATATTGAATGGTTTAAAAAGTCCGTTAAATAGCGACTAAGAGTTTATTAATATTTTATTACACGTAATTACTCAATAAATTTTGTTTCTTGAAGGTCATATATACATACATACACATTTAATATCACATTTTCCAAAGGAATTCTCAACTTCAAAATTTAGAAAATTACAACAATAATTACATTTACACGAAAATACAATCGATACATGAAACTAATTTACATTTTATGTGTTTATTTATTTTTGGGATATCATGTAAAATAAGAAATCCTTTTTAGAGTATTCCGATTCACTGAATTCAAACTATTCTCAGAATTTTTATACTTTTTTCCAAATAACTTCATTTATTTTGAATTAACAGAATTTGTAATAGAATAAGAGTATTCATGACAACCATTCGCTCATTTTAATAAATAACAGTTAAATATAAATAAACAAAATAATATTCTTCGAATCTGCTCATTTACAATTCAAATCTTATTTTTATCTCAGTAATTTGAAAATGAGTATGATTTATAATCCTTTTTTAAGATATAACTTATTCATTTTCATTTTAAGAGAAACGTACATATTCATCTACTTACATTACAGTTGTCGCATTGTGTTTCATTTTATTGTAAGTTACAGCTAGATTAAAGATTCTTGCTTATATATAGCATTGTTTTCTGGAAATGAGTTTGAGAAATACTTATAATTTGAACTGTGTACTATAAAAATATTGACGTATGATTTTTTTCTGTTTCGTTTAAATATAACTACTCATATAGTTACCAAATTAAAATGAAAAACTAATTTTGTATAAAATAGATACATTTATTGTAAAATGTTTGATCTTTACATAAGAAGGTTAACACCTTGTAACTAATGTAATACATGTATGTACTCTTTTCTTTATATGTTCAAAAGTTTTGCTGATTGTTTGTAGACATAATGCATTCCCCGGATATAACGAATGTTGATACAAATATTGACTTAATGAACAGATGTTTGAGGTGCCACGTTGTTGTTTCAATGACTAACAATGGTTATTATTTAAACATTGGATCTAATGTTAATTGAATAAGTTTATATCTACTTAATCATTATGATATGAGTAATACATAATGCTTCTTAATTGCTTTAGAATTTATATGTTTCTTAATTTAATTGTAACAAGAGAAACAATGAATAAATATTCAGATTTTGTCTTATTAAGTTCTGAAACAAAAAAAGCAATTTGGCATTTTTAAGTTTAGGTTTTTTTATTTCCTGGTACATAAAGGCAAAGACCTCTGAGTTTCCACAGACATTGTATTATTCTCTAACAATGTCCTTGCTAATTGCCAAAGCAATTTATTGTACAGCTCTGAACTTTGGTATAAACTTTTTACATTTTTTTTTATATTTTCGGATACACGAACTCTGCCTCTAATAATATATTTAAACAACGAGTTGTTGAGGACATACAGTTTTTTTCTACATCATAATAGTAAATACTAAACAAAGCAAGTCATACTTACATATATGAGTGTGTATAAGTTTAGTTTAATCAAAATTAGTACGTATAATTTAAATCTTAATAGTTATAGAATTATGTCAAAAATTATGCATGCTATGTGAAGACACATGACTATGCTTTATTTAAGCATATTTCATTAAAAAATATTAAAAGCATCGTTATTAGTTCCTTGTGTTTCACGATTAGTTGCATTCCATAAAGAAAAAAATCGTATATAATTGACTTGAACAGAAGAAGAATACTGTTAAAAGTAATTGATTCCATGTAATGGATAACCTATGTTTACATTCCACTTCCTCTAAACCTTTGTAACTCAATAACAGTACGATCAAGCAGAAAAATTCTGAGGCATTAAATACAAAGTAGAATTTATTCAAAAATACAGGTTACTAACATGGGGAATGAAGAAAGCTGTTAACAGCACTTAGCATTTTATTATGACATTATTGCTATCTAAATTCAAACAAAATTTTTCAACCTTAATAAATGTTAAATGAGGTAAGTAAAAGAAAAATATTATTTTACATTATGACGTCATTAGTTGTTTTTAAATTTCAAACTATTTATTTGGTGGAGATATATTAATTGTTGTTAATGATTTATCGTTAGGCTAAATAAAAGAAAAGGTGTTTTATTAATTTGAATTTATTAATTAGTATATTAATTTTAATACTGCCCATATTGATTGAGATGATGCGTTTGTACGAGAAATTAATTCGTTTTTATTAATTCTTAGCAATGTCCCAGGCAATTAAAACGAATCTCCATACTGTTAACTTGTTCCTTTTTCTTTCTCAGAACCATTTAAAATTTAAAAACACGACAACCTCCAAGCCTGCTATCATAAACAAAACATTATGGAAGTTTCAATATTAACTTCGGCAAATATTCATATATTGAATTTTATGAAGCACAGTCAAATAATGCTTAGCACAGCTCAATTTATATTGCATTCAGCTTATGATGTGTTCTTTTTAATGTTTTTCCGAGCATAAATCATGCTGTCCCGACAAAAAGTTGGAGGAAAATACTTCATGCGATTATTATTGCGCTGCATAAATCTTGTTTTTCGTACTGTTAGCAAAAAAAGAAAACAAAATAATTTTAAAATTTATTTAACAGCCTTCACTTGTAACAAATGCTTATTTTGATTCACGATATAATCGTTTCATATAAAAAAATACATATCTTATAATATTGAGTTAGAATTTCTCACAAGAGTACCTACTTTCGGTACATCATAAATGTAAAGTGAATATAGTAAATTACATGATAACATTGACCTTAACCCACTAATAAGTCATAAATTATGAAAACATTAAATCCCAAAGCATGGAGAGACCTCTAATGGGTGGGATTGGAGCGTAACGGAGGTTGGGTGAAAACAGAATTCCTTCTTTACACGCAATTAAGTCACGATCTTTCCCTTTTATATTGAACAGTTTTAATAATATTGACATTTTAACGGCTCTATTAGTTTTACTATGTGTTTATTAATAATATCATCAGGTTTAATATGATCTAAATTGTAGTATTATAAGTTATAAAATACGAATGGCATTCATTACACGTACGAGTATCATGTCTCAGTCAGAAGTATGAACGTTTTTATCATCTGGGTTAATTGTGAACACTACAATTAGTCGGTATTTTCACAAACTGACATTAAGTTAATGATTTGTTATTTGACGTCAATGTATATAAAGGTATATAAAATTTTATATCTTTTAAGCGTTCATAAAACAAACAAAAGTAAAAAAAGATAGAGTAATAATCGATATATCGTGTCATAATTTTCTATCCATTAATATCGCATTAGTCTGTGGTATATCGCCTAGTTTCACGTTTATCACTTAGCCTTTAGTAAACTAGTGTGCGTATAACGTGAATCAGTCATTTCCCTCTCAGTAAGATGAAACTTACTTTTAGTTTCTGTATTATAAATATGATTTATATTTTTAACAGCAATTCTAGATTGCAATCTAAATTGTACATTTTGTCACTTTGTACTCTTTAATTTTGCTCACGAATACATGAATAGTTAATTATAAATTAGAGAAATTACTTCTTATTTTGCTTTTACATAATGAAGTTGCTTTTTATGTGTCTAACATTTCGTTATAAGAAAAATACAAACACAAAAACTTACTTGATTTAGTTCTGCTACCATCATATAAACTTATGTTTCTTTTTATTCCACATAAAAAGTGCCAAGAATATTTGAGCTATAAAGTAAATACGACGCAGACTCAGTAAGAATAATATTTGATGTGAGCCTCGCAATATGAGAATATTCATTGATGTTGTGGTATTATATAACAAAAAAACCTTGTTAGAATTACGGTAATGAGTAGATGTAAGAGACAATTCCTAACAATAGCCAAATCACCAAGATGGTATTGAAAGATCGTCTTTCCGACAATATAAATAATGTTTTGACCTTGTTTAAAAATAATTATGATTACCCAGCCATTTTGTAGAGATCTGCCCTGTTGACTGTCGACTCTCGCACTAGGTACAACACCAAAACGTCGGCTCACCACTGCCATATAAATTTAATTTTCGTTTTAACTTAAAACCGGGAAAAAAATAAGCGGTCGTGCGCATGCGCTCAACACTTACAACTGACTACTAGGAATCGTGCGCCTTAGTGATGCGTACTCATAAATGACGTTTACCTTTTATTTTATTATTGAACATTGTAAACAATTTACATGCTAATTGACTGACAGTTTGACATAAAACATTATAGATATATCTAATATTTTTTGTATATTAGGAATTTGAATAAGTCGTACTTAATAAAAAATATTTTTTTTATATGTATAAATTTTTATATAAGGGTGGAGCAAAATAATAATAACGATGAGCGGAAGTACAGCCAACAAGTCCCATCACTAGTTTGTTCTTGCCACGGTACAGTGCACCACCAGTCGCTTGTGGAAATTAACCACAGTTTAATAAAAACACGGGATAATTATGTGATGCCCACTGACCGTCACTTATATATAGCACTTAGCAAGTTTAAATATAAAACTCAGATAAAAATAACAGTACCTAAGACACTGTTACAGGAAGAATTTTTTTTTAATAATATAATTCAACAAAATATCAATCTTTATTAATATAATTTTGTCTAATTCGTAATACAACTATGAAAAACCACATTTATTTATATGTGTTAAGGCTCTTCAATCTTAGAAATGATTATAAATTAGATGAATTATAATTAATAAAAAATTTAAGACTCATGCCATTCACTTTCATAATTACGGAAAAGCTGCCCATACGTGATTGCTAACATACTTGACGGTAAACGAAGTCTAACCTGGAAACTCTTAAGGCATTATCATAAAGAAACAGAGCATTGCGGTACTTTAAACGTAAAGTAAATGAGTACAAACTAAGGTTTTATCATATGTAGTTGGATTTACAATATATTTCGCGATCATGTGAATGAAAATTAAATAAATAACATTTGTCACAACATAAAAAAATACTATAAAAATAGCAACATGAAAGATAATGTTTGTAAAACAGAAATAGCTTACGTCGATTTGAAGTGTAAACTACAAAAGTATCTTTGAATTTATGCTTTGACGACTTAAATAAAATATGATAAAAATTCTAATTATAATAAACGTGTGTCATTATAGTTACAAAATAAAATATTTAACTTTCACTATATTTTCCTGTAAGTCGTAACATTTTATTACTGTATCGTTTAATTACATAACAACTGTTAAAATAGTTAGTAATGTTGAACAGAATTATTAAGTGAATGTATCTAATATACATACATATATTTAATTTGCGTTTTGCTTTTTACGAGTCTAAATAAAGTTTGTATCCTATTGTGTAACTATTTTGAAAGAAATTAAAAATACGTAACCTAATATCACTTCTATTCAAATTACTTTTCATTTCACATAAGTGCACTAACTCATTACATTAGTACACTATACTTTTAAGAAGAAGGAATATTCTTGTATAAATTTATCTACGCTTGAATATTAGGGACTAAAATCACTAACTTTATATGCATTTTTACTGTACATATATTTAACAATTATTTACATCTGTAACAATTATTATATGTACTTGTTCTATAAAAAATCATTATGCGGTTAATAAATTATAAAAATATTATTAAAATACTTAGAAAATACTGTAGATATTGCATAATTCCAGTGTCTAATGGCCTCAAAACAACTTTAAAGGTTTCTTTAGAGTTTTTTTATCTTTACATTTAACAACTCGTATATCCCCTTTTGTCTAAATCGGTTTAGTAGTTATTTAATGCTTAGTAAAAAAATCATTCAGATTTACTTAAAGTAAAAACAGTCAGTGTAAGAAATACATCTAGTTCAATAAAAATCAGGTTAGTAGTGACTGTTAGATAACGAGATACTTTTGTTCTTCCGTAATACCTATAATAATATTATAGGTTAAATTCCAGGTTCTAACTGTTTTGGATTTTTTTAATAATCTTCTTTTAAATTCATGAAAATAACTAGGGAACTCTCAGATTCTTGCTAAAAAACTCAGAGTAATTTAGTTAAATTATTTAATTGACATGGTTATTTATATTATAGTATTAATAATCTGCATACATTTCATCTTACTCAATTTAAAGATTTTTTTGTAGCCTACGTTGCTAGTCCGACTTTAAATACATAAATATTGAAATACATGTATACACAAACACACACACACACACACACACACACACACACACATAAATTTTTGAAGAATCATAATACACATAGTTACTAGATATTCCATTGACTTATTATTTTAAAATATTTTTCATAATCTGTGATTATAATCATTTAAATCAAAATTTTATGGTTGTAATTTTGGATAAAAATTTCATATACGAGTACATCCTACATATTGCTTAACATCCCGTCATGAATATAAATTATATAATAGAATGTCCTAAGCAGTGGTTAGTAATTGCAGTTCATGAAGGTCTTCACTTGTATGTACATATATATTTTAATAAATTCAATTTTATTTTTCTTTTAATCTAACCAGTTTTTTCTTATGCTTTATGCTGGTCAAAAACTTATGGTACGTGTGCTATTATTTCTTACGTAATAATCAGAAATTTCACCTTGTCGAATGGATTTACTTCTGAAATAAAGTTTTTAGATATTTCATTAAATTATTACAACAGACAATAAATATAGTTGAATCTACAAAATTTATGTAAAATAATATATCTATATACGAAGATTTTATACAAGACTCCTTCATATTATTAAATTATTAGCATATAGGTTCTGATAAGATCTCAAGTAATAAACTTCCTTGGCCATGACAATATGTACATTACTGGAATTACGCTTATAAAGAGTTTGTGAATCACTATTAAAGTATGATAACAATACGTCCGTTAATCATTTGTGCAAATATTGGATGTTGATGCCAAAGAAGCGCACATTTTATCACTTTTAGAATTAGATCATTTTTGTTTATTTAGATATATCACTCTGATAACTCGAGATAACCCACTTTTCAAGATGATATTTTGCAGTTATTATGAAATATATAGAAATCATGATATTTAAGATTAACTGGTCTATCAATATTTTATTATTATTTGAATAATCTTTTTAACTTCTAAAGAAAATCATTTAAATTTCTTTTTAAAAGTTACCTTGTAATTTTAACTTAAAAAGTTTCTTTTTACAAGCCTTAAGCGTGTTGAAATAAACATCAAATATTCCTTTAAATCGATCGAACTAGGGTGAAAGTGAAGGAGCGAGGCCACCTGAATACAAATTTTATAACATTGATTCACGACAAGCGTCCCAATCCAATCGAAACTTTCCGACCAACCCACGATTTTAATCCATTGGTAATACGAAAATTTATGTAAAAGTATACACAGTAATGTTACTTAAAAACAATGTCTCCTCCCCACATAATACATATTTGTTCGTTGTTAAGACATTTTTACTTAAAATGTTTTATATACTTCTATAATTTTACTTTTAATAAATTTCATTTGGGAAGCGATTATATATTTATTTTTACAGACTGTTAGAATATAAAATAACATATTTGAAATAGTCTTTACAAAATAAATCTTTGTAATTTTCAAGTAAACATCTACAATCAAAATGAGAGCTTCCACATTAGAATCCCTGCGGTCAATGAGTTGGGCCAAAGTGTAACGTCCAACCCCGAAAAAAGGTATAAAATCAATCGGTTTACAAGATTATTGGAAGTAATTCCGTTCAAAAAGAACCGTGGCACGTGCCCTGTTTACAAATCCGGTCGAGAAGAAGAAAACGAGGGGCTTTAGCGTTTACCTTTTTATGAGATCACAGCTCTCGAAGTCATTTTAATATTTTAATTTGGTTACTTTATACATATATTTGTTATGTATGAATTATAAAAATTTACCTTTACTTTCATAAAACTATATTTATTGAAAATTCATAATATAATATATTTAGTAACCACATTACAGTGTTCTTGATCTATCTATCTATTTTGAGTCATACTTAAGCCCATTACTCTCATCACACGTACATAAGCCTAGCTTCAGATGGCTTAGAACATAAGCCTTGATGAACCAACAACGCATGATGTATGCTCTTAGCAACACGTGTCCATTGAATTGACCTTCACAATAATCGATTTACGTTTAAGTAGATAGGATAGCGATAGGCTCTCACATTTTCAACGTATTGTCCCTAATCCTATTGTAGAAGTTGGGAATTGTCCTAGAATTAATAGAAGTTCCACAACTCACCCCGGAGTTCTATTGTAGGTTGAGTTATCTGTTAAAGAACAATAATAAATCAAATCAAAATTGCTTTGGTAGTTCTCAAGACTTTAAGTACGTTGGACCATAAAGGTGTGCATTAAGATAAGTCTTATAAATAGGATTTGATACGTCTCATACGTAACAATTTAACATTATATATATATATATATATATATATAATTATTACTTTATCATTGAAACTATCTTTTAAAACTTCTTAATTAAATGCTGCCCCTGTTGTATATGTTAAAAAATACTGTATACAATTTTAATATTTTTTCTATAATCAAAGTTAAAATGTTTTTATCACGAGATTAATGTATTTACGTATAAATAAATATATCTTTCATATAGTATATCTCGAAATAGGTACATATCGAAATCCCATT